ATAATATTTTCAGAGGGCTAAATGTTAATCATAATCAAGTAAAACTTTTGCCTGTTAAATGCCCTTCAAAAGAGAAGATTTTTGAAGATGAAATGCATTTTAAATGCATGACCAACTATTCCTGATAACATTGGCGAAGGGGCCATGAATTCCATATTTTTGGTAAAAGATGTACTCATTATAAAATATAGAAACCGTTTGCCTAGATGTCCAATAAAAGAACATTTTTGAAGATTTTTCTAAAAATTCTTTTCTCATGCGTTAAACTACATGAAAATTAATTTTACTGGTTTTGGCCACACCCCTCGGGACCCATTGAGGCAGAGACCATAAAATTTGCAATTTATATTTCTCTTTTTCTATTGATGTAAAATACCAAAATTTTTTGACGTTTATGTAGAACTTAGTATAGTAGTTGTTCCAGATAAGAAGCTGAAAATGTTTAACAGCTTTCTTTTGATGGACAAAGCACAACGCAACTGATAAACTCAGATGATCTAAAAAAAAAAAATAATAATGATGAATTAGTAAATAAATAAATAAATAAACTTTTCAGTGAACATGAAGACAGCATATAGTTTTAATATTACTTTTTATGTTTTAAAGAAAAGAACTGCAGACGTTTTTTTTTTATTTATTTTGTTGTAAATTGATAAATTGATGTTTCTAGATTTACAAATGTTCAAACTGATTGTACAAATTTAATTAATTTCATTTAAAAAAAAAAACCCTTTCCTTACTATTTTCACTCAAAAACTAAGTTTCGCCAGCAAAACATATCAGAAGTTTATATCTATAATAAATGTTATATTTCCAGTAACATTTTAATCCTAAATGAAATGCATAAAATACATGTAATAAAAATGTTCATCTCTATTTTATCTTACAAAAAAATTCAATAACTTGCGTCTTACTAGCCTTTGGTACGTGTTTAAATCTGGAATTGCATTATACAAGTTAAACACAGTGATTTTGGATACTTCACGAAGAAAGTTGTACAACCAATGTGCATTTTGTTTCTGGAAAGTTTTAAGAACCCTCTGTACACTATTGAGTTCTTGTTCTGTAGAATTTCACGCAACTGAGTAATCTGCCTTTTGATTTAAATAAAATAAATTGAAAATCTATAATATTTTAATCAATTTGTAACCAATTCAAGCATTTTTAACGTTTCTGTAGGCCAAGATAATTAATTGAACACATTATTTACATGCATTTCCCCAAAATTAATTGAACAGTAATTCCTGTTCATCAATACTTGGTTGTCTTTAAACATTTTTTCTTGGGGTAAATGCCATGTATCCTATGTTGAAAATGAAGTAGATATGCTCAGTAGTTATACCTTTACATTATACATGTATATCATTTTCTCAATGTCCAAAAAACATTTTGCTTTGGTGTATAGAGGGTCGTTAACAGAAATAGTTCTTTTAGCCATGCCAAGATGTTTTAACTGAATATTAGTAATTTGTCCAAACAAATTTCTAATATGACCAAACGCCCTTAATACCTTTTACAAGGCCCCCCAAAGCACTGTATGAAGAAGTACTTTTTAATTTTGTGCATTCATGTTTGATCACATCACTTTGTATTGAACATAAAATCAATATTTTCCCCCAACAAATCGAGAACATTTAACGTCATATAAAAATTAATTCATTGACAGACATGCCTCATTAGGGCGTCATTAATCTTATCAACCTTTCACCCCCAGACAAGCTCACTGTTTGTCTTCCATCCCACCTTCAATGCATAATACGTTTGACAAATGCTTCAGTGAGAGTCTGATGAAGGTGTAATGAGTCGACCTGGTAAACGATGGCATGTCTGCATTCCGGAACTGTCCCGATATCTTAACACCATATGCTTGACAGAACGAACGTTTTCTACTGTTCAAATACTTTTCTTTTGTGTATCGATCTCTCTATCATGTATGATAAGATTAATAACAAAGCAGTCTGTTTACTCGTTTTGTTATATTGTTTTATTTAAATAAGTGCTTGAGTACTCCTTGTTTGAGTCAACCGACTCAGAAACGCAGTTTACGCCAGACACAGCAATAGTGTTATTTCCCATGCGGGGGAGAGTGGACGGAGGGATGGTATTGGTAAACGTGTTTCTCTGTTCCAGTTCTTGAACTGGGCACGTATCAAATCAATATTACTTCAGCAGTTTTTTTTAGCAAGCATCTAAATTTTACAAGTATCAAGGTCTTGTCATTTAAAACATGTATATACATTTCAATTGCACATAATAAATATTATATTAATTTTATATCTAAGTCTGCAATTAATGATTTGCTTAAAAGAACTGCATTCTATCATAAATCGACTCCAGCATCTCACAAGCTTGGGAGGGTGTCTGGTCCTTTACTCGTTGGCCTTCTATGATTTCTGGAAGAAAAAAAAGTAGACTTCGGGCATGTAAAATAGGTACAGGATTTCCCTGCAGAACCAGCGGAAATTGGCCTGGTTAAGGTGTTTAAAATTGAAAGCAGAGAGTATTTACCAAGTAAATCAAATGCATGCACAAAAGTGTGTGTAGTATTTTTGAAGAACGTAAATAAACAGATATCACTAATTATTACTTATTGTAACATTTATAAATTAATGTTCTCTTTCGTAAATGCATTGATTAAATACCTTCTGGTTTCAGAAACATATAGAATTTTCGTCTTGTTTTTGTGGTCAGTTTGTTGTTAGGGTCTGCCCGAAACTCTTTGAACTCCTTGTATAACATATTTTCTGTATCTCGCCGTCTCATCTCACAACTCAGCATTGTGATCCATGAGCATGCCGGTATTCCGACAAACCTGAAATCAAAAAAGTTTTCTTTCTAATAAAAAAGGACAATTTAATGAGAATCAAACATGACTATTACTCCAAAATGAAATATACACTATTTATTTTTCTGTTCAACTTTTACACGCAGAATGTTCCATCAATATTTCCTGGAATACGTACTCAATCAGACAACATTGTATTTCTCTTCACTCACCTGTTCATGAATTCCTTCAACATTTTAAGGATTTTTTGATTACTTTTTGCAGATTTTCGGAAAAAAATCACGATCTCAGTCGAACAATGCAATGACGCCAAGATAATTGTGACGTCATAGTAAAAGAAACTAATTTTAAATAAAACCTAACTTTCTAAGTCGGAACTAATATAATTTTTTTCAAAGTTTCTGTAAACTGCATTCAGAAATTTTTTTTATTACGTTGATACACACATTACATTTATTAATTCATCTACTTAATTTGTAAAATCAGTTGAATTCTGATTTTGAATTTATGATATCAAATAATTCGAAATCTTTCCATGTTCACAATGTCAAGATTTGTGTAAAGGAAAGATATCATAAAGTGACATTTTGAAGACATCATATAATCTTTCAATCGAGATTGGATTATATTTTAAAAACGCTAAAATAATTTTTTTAAAAAGTATATACATGTACTTATACAATGAATTGTTTTCGAGTTGACGTCAGTCGCATTCTTTTGAATATGACCTTAAAAAGGCTTTTATCTGTGGTCTGTGTTTCTACAGTATAGTTTCTACAGTACAGATCAAATTTAAAAACAAATGCGAAAGGTATATGGTATTCTTTCAATATTTTATTTTTCTTTTCAGAAAAGGCAAAACAATATTACAAATACATATACAAATAAACAACTAATCTATAATAATAAGTCAAAATCGTGTGTTTCTTTTATGATATTTGTATCATAAACCAAAAGATTTATATATTTAAAAATATATGAGTAAAGCAATTTTTTCTCTATAAAATTAAGATTTTTTATGCTCTGAAACCTGCAATTTTATGCAACCTTATACTTTGGAGAACAAAATTTGCACCTTAGGATGGGCCATGCAAAAATTCTATTTGAATAAAATTGTCAATTTTCCCGTTTTTGCGTCTCCGTTCTCTTTATGTTCCAATATCTCCATCTGGTGGAAACGAAAAATCATTCTTCAAAAATTGAATAAGTGGAGGGAATATGTAGATATTGTATTAAACTCCTTATTTATTCGTTGGTCAAACTACTCTGAAGCTCTTAGTCGCCCCTCCCCTCTCACAAATCTTCCCTACAAACATAGTTTCAAGTAGGTTTTATTTTTGCCGCACAAGCACTTGTTTCTATTTAATAAAATATAATAATAATACGGGCACTTGTTTATGTAATAATTTTAACTCATAGTATAATGTGTTATTTTTATACCATGGGTTAAAACAATAATGCCTTTGATTTCCCGCCAAAATTTGTTGGCAAGTGCATTGCGCATGAGGAAGTAGCAGACGTGTTGATAAATTTGGATTCTGGGATTCCCCTTTATGGAAACGGATTTAAACTTTTGTGTCAGTTGCTTTTTTTAACACCTATGAAAGAAAAGAATGACAAGCTTTTAGATGGAGTGCTGTAACAACTTTGAATTATAATACAACAAAGGATGCTACGACAAATTAACCATGTAAACCGGAAGGACAGAATAAAAGCTGGCCAACAAAATAGAAAGTGAAAGAAGAGATTTCGTAGAAGAAAGTACCATTGTGTAGCTGTCATGTCAAGTTTAGGTAAGAAAATGTATATACGTTAATAACCACGAAACGGGGTTTCGGAAAATGGACACTATAGCCTTATTGTCTCTAAACGAAAATCCAGATTTGTAGATAAGGGATACGTGTACATCATGTGTACATGTAAGTACTACATGTATATTTGCATACTATATTTGCATTTTGTACTGGTATCAGGGACCTATATAATAAGTATACAAGGTTCCTGCTGGTATACAATGGTGCAACGTAGACTGTTGGACAGGTGTACTGACTCAGTCTTTCATAATTTCATTTGGCTTTATATTATACAGAAGTGTAAATGTCGAATACAATATAGACAATATTTATTTTCAATACAAGTCTTGTGTCTGTGTATTAAAAAAAAGCATTATTTAGTATATATGCTGACATGTGGGTCTTCATTATTTTTCAGTACTTCAATCAGGATTGGTTATTAATGTGGCACAATGATGGATTCCAACCACAGCCTGAAATTGGACAGTGCTCCACTGCTTGACCAGAAGAGTTTGACGCAGCCAAGTACTTCTGATAGTCTCCAGCTTCCTGCAGGAGAAAAGCTAGGAAGTTCAATCTTCAATGAAGATTCAGACCAAAAATATGTTCTCAGACAATCTGTGGCATCAAAAGAAAATGAGGTCACTAAGCATGTTCAGGAGACATCTGGTCAGAAAATGGCCATACAGAGAGCAGACGTACTTTATCATCGGGAAAGTAACAATTCAATGAAAGCATCAGGTCATGTAAGAGCTGGAAAATCAATGGCTCATGACAGGCAGTTCATAAGTTATGGGGATGATGAACCTATGTTGTCATCCCTGGAACCAGAGGATGACATAGTACCACACTATATAAGACTATTCAGGCCTATGATTGTCAAATGTGTGGATAGTCTTCACTTGCTTCCCATGATGAGAGACATTTTTGAAGATCAAGGTATTACAATCTTTTTAATAAAATAGGGGCATATATACTTATTGGATTGGCAACTTCTTCATGCAGTGCCATTTTTCTTCCTTAAAACATCAAACATTAAACTTAATGAAAAAAATTTATGGCAAAGTTAGAGCTCTCAATTGTTCATAATTGGGGCCATTCAAAGACCCCATTCCCAATTCAAAAAAGTTACTTTTTTCCCCCAAGTGAATGTGTTAATTTTCTCAATAGTCATTTACCCCCAAAATAACATATGCAGGGTAGTTGGATATATAATATATTCCTCTGTATTGCAAAACAGAAGTTTATAACAAACACCAGAAAGCAAAATAAATATACATCAAACTTCGTTTACTTGAACATGATGGGACTGAGAAAAAACATCTTTAACGTATAATGTTTTTCCAAAAATTCCCTTAAATGGTTGCTGCTTTTGCCAATTTTTATGGCCTTAATCCCAATCCCAAAAAGTGGTGTGAGGGCTCTGAATGTACAATACTGTAAACAGAATACTATCTTGTGATTGTAATACATGTAAAATTTAATAATACAGGAGAAAGGACACAAATTAAGGGAATATCAAGGAGTGAAGGAACACAAGCTGGTATGGAGGAATTCCTGAATCGGTTGACAACAAAGAAACAGCATCCAGATCGATGGACTCGCTTTGTTCATGCATTAAAAGAAGCTGGTTTGTCTCATATTTTATATATTTTGTTATGAATTCCTTCAAGATTTGATCATGTCCATAGTCCATATTGCATATTTACATATCAATTAGAAAAAATATTTTCAACAGTCTAAAAAATTATGAAGAAATATTTTGACACTGTTTGAATTTAAATTATACTTTTTCAATTACATTGTAAATGCTAATCAATTTTCAGATTACGAGTATGTATCTAAAGTTCTGGAAAAACAAGAAGTCATTCACACAGACATATTCACAACTCAAACACGTCTCATAGACATTTTTGCACATGAAATTTACAAAAAACTGAAGCCAAGTGAAATTGTCCCTGATTTGTTTGCAAAAAGAGTTATAAACAGGGATATTAAAGATGCTGTGATGATTGATGAGCGAAACAATGGAGAAGCCTCAGCAACAATTGTCCTTATTGATAATATATGGCGATGTAAAAAGAACTGGTACAAAATCTTCTTAGAGGTTCTTTACAACCATGATTATGGGGAACTTGTAAAAAAGATAGATGACTCATTTCTTGAGAGTAAGTATTTTGACAAGTTTTCTAGAAATTAATACTTCAAACTTGAAAGATGTAGGATGATTGAGATACAAAATTTTAATTGATTGATCAAATTTGGCCTGCCCAATTCAAAACTAAATTATGAAGTACTTTTGTAATTGATAATAAGTTTCCTAAAGATTTTCATTGTCAAAATGAATTTGCAAAAATATGCATTAATTTTGCTGATTTTTTTTTTTAAAGAAAGAAAACAGAAACTTCAGGAAGATGAAGAGCACCTGGTTAGCTCGGATTTTGATGAAGGGAAAGGTGCCTTGTCCAAGGAGACCGAAAAGAGTCAGAGGGATAAATCTGAGCAAAGCAGTGACAAATCAAAATCTCGCGAGCTACAGAGAGAGATATCTCACAATTCCATGTCACCAAATAAACAAGAGCAGGATAAAACCAACTCTATACAGGAAGACTATCTCTCAAGTAAGTATCCTATATAGCACTTAATAAAGCTTTTCTGATCGCCCATTGTCTTTTCCATTCATCTGTCTGTCCATTCTGTAAACTTTTCACATTTTTTACTTCTTCTCAAGAACAACTAGGCCAGTTTTAACCATGGTTGGCACAAAACATCCTTGTATGGGTAAAGGGAGTTCTAAATAAATGAAGGGCCAAACCCTCTTCCAAGGGGTGATAGTATTTTTACATTTGAATGTTCTTTTATATCTCAAAAATAAATTTATGCATATGATTTATAACATGAGAACTTTAATCTTAGGCAAAAAATTCTAAAAATTGACCAAAAAAAAGTTCTCATGTTATAAATCATATGCATAAATTTATTTTTGAGATATAAAAGAACATTCAAATGTATAAATACATTAACATGTACATGTATTAACATTTACCATTACATCTATGTACTATTGTACTATCAAAGGATCATGGACACTAGACACAATTTAGCTTGATTATGATATGCATTATTACTGTTTTCTGTTGTGATCTTCTATCTTGTGTTCAATGTATAACTCTATCACATATTTAAATAGAGACATTTGAAGTTGAGAAATCTGTCAACAATTTGAGTGGAAATCCTTTGGAAGAAAGCCTGGATATCGAATTCGCAGAATTGTCTCAAAACTTTGATGAATCTTTATCTATCCATGGAGACACTGAACAAACCCGTAGAAAACTAACAGACGGATATGATGCTGACAACAGAACTTTATCATCTAACTTGATTAACAGAAATTTGTCATCCAACATGGACAACAGAAATTTGTCATCCAACGTAGACAACAGAAGTTTGTCATCCAACGTGGACAACAGAAGTTTGCAGTCGAACACTGACAACAGGGTGGCTAGTTATCCAGATCTGGACTCGATGGCTGTTGTGAATGCTTGTCAGAGTCTGGATAGAGAGGTGGAATCTTCTACAAGTCGACCAAACATTATCAACAGTGGTAGGCCTTTTTACAAGTTTTTATGACTTCCAAGTTAATTATTTTTAATAATTAATTAAATGTTTAAGCTACTGTACATCATCAATTTTCCAAGACAACTAGCTTACTTTCATGAGATAGACATTTAATATTTATAAGCAAGACAAAATTTTCATGAATTCTTGTAATAAATTGTTCTACATAATCTTTAATGATACAAATATAAATGTATGCGATAATGAAGTTTTTGTGAGCGGACAATCTTACTTAATAACATGAAAATAAACTTCTCATGAATAAAAATTTACAGTATATATATATATATATATATTAATAGGTAGGGAGTTGAGATATTGTTGTTGAGAAATATTGAAACCCTAATAAAGTATTATAGCTATAAATATTGAAATCCTAATTAGATTTAATGGAAGGGAGTTTATAAGATTATAGGTGTATGAAATGTTTAACCTCCAGTCAAATGTTTTGGTACTGTTGTTCTCAGGTTCCAGTGGAAGCCTTATGGAAACAAACAAACGTGTTAATTTGGACGAATCAGATGACGATGATGAAGATCTTGCTGTTCCGAAAGAAAAGTTGGAACTAAGAAGTTATCAGATGGAGCTGGCAAGGCCCTCTCTAGAGGGCAAGAACTCTGTCATTGTAGCCCCCACTGGAAGTGGAAAAACACATGTGGCACTCTATATTATCAAGGTATCAATCATGAGTGTCAAGACTTTGATTGGTACAGCCATCAAATTTTCAATATTTATATAGTTTTACCATAAGTTCGAAAAAATTGTTCAGTTTTATAAAGTGATCCTTACTGAGTATCTTGTAAATAAGCTGAATTTTCTATGCTATATTTTCTTTCAACAGGACCACATGGAGAAAATAAAATCTGTAAGACACCCAAAAGTTATTTTCTTGGTGGAACAAAGTGCCCTGGCAGAGCAACAAGGCAAACAGTGCATGACTTATCTCCCTTATAAAGTCAAGGTCATTACTGGGGAAACTCAAAGAAATGAAAGGATGAAGACATTAAATGAATGGATAGAAAGGTGAGGAAAATTAGTACTTTCTGTGCACATGTATTGCACAGAATGTGTGGCATTACCTATTTATGCATTTGTCCTTTCATACATATATATAGTGGAGCCTTTAAAAAAAATTAAGAACCATTATGCAAGCATCAATGTTACTAGTACAGAAGCTGTTTTTAAAAGAAATTTTCTTCTTTACACTTCCTGATAAATGTTTATTTTGTGCCTTTACAATGGTATATGGTATTTTATGAAATCACATTTATTACATTTTCAACATTGAAATACTGTAATTTATTTACTGAATAAAAGTGATATTCTGACACAGTGTGAAAGGATATCAAAATGGTATTCTAGCTCACAGTGTGAGAATATCAGAAGTGCGGCAAAACTTACGATTTTCCTTTTTTTTTTTTAAAAAAAAAAAAAAAATCCCTGGCCTGTTATAAGATGGAGTTAATGAGCCATCCTGACAGAGACTAATAGTTATACTGCCAAAGTTTTTCCAAATCATTAAAAATCCATGTTTACAACGTTTTTCAATCCCGCAATCGCTTAGCTATGACGTCTCAATCGTTCAACTATGACGTCACAGCCTATGACACTGTGTTACGAAAAGACAAAAGGCAAAGGGAAAATCTAAGAAATGTGATAAACAGAAAATGCAATGTTTTGTAGATGAATATGGAATTTATTTCACCCGTGAGATAAGATTTTTTTATATTTTCACTCGTATGAAGCACGAGTGAAAATATCAAAAAATCCTGTCCCACTCGTGAAATAGATTCCATGTTCATCTACAAAACATTGAATAACCTCTATATATTGAATATTTCAGAGAAAATATTCATTATACTAGTATGATTTAGATTTCATAGATTCATAAAAAAAAATTGATCCAATATGTAAAGTTATAGTTTTACTGCAAATTCAAATAAACAAAGGATAGAAAATTAATTATGAATTATCACTTTGCTTTTGAATGATAATTTGTTTGCAAATATCATCATTATTCAATCTATTAATCTATATCTACATTGTGGTAAAATGAGTCAATTTTTGTTGTTGTTGATTTTTTTCAAATTGATAAAGTTTATTATGGAAAGGTTTTTAGCTCACCTGAGCTGAAAGCTCATGTGAGCTTTTCTGATCACCCATTGGCCGTCATCCGTCCGCCTGTCTGTAAACTTTTCACATTTTCAACTTCTTCTCAAGAACCACTGGGCCAATTTTAACCAAACTTGGTACAATGCATCCTTGGGTGAAGGGGAGTTTAATTTTTAAAATGAAGGGCTAAGTCCCCTTCAAAGGGCAGATAATCAAGAAAAAACAAAAATTGGGTGGGGTCAATCAAAAATCTTCTTCTCAAGAACCACTGGGTCAGAAAAGCTGAAATTTATGTGGAAGCATCCTGGGATAGTGTAGATTTTAAATTGTTCAATCATGACCCCTGGGGGAAGGGCGGGGCCACAATAGGGAATCCAAGTTTTACATTGAAATTTATAGTAAAAATCTTTAAAAATCTTCTTATCAAGAACCACTGGGCCAGAAAAACTGAAACTTATATGGAAGCATCCTGGGGTAGTGTAGATTCTAAATTGTTCAAATCATCACCTCCAGGGATAGGGAGGGGCCACAATAGGGAATCCAAGTTTTACATTGAAATATGCAGAAAAAATCTTTAAAAATATTCTCAAGAACCACTGGGCCAGAGAGGCTGAAACTTATGTGGAAGCATCCAGGGGTAGTGTAGATTCTAATTGTTCAAGTCATGACCCCTGGAGATAGGGCGGGGCCACAATAAGTACTACAAGGTGGGGGGGGGGGAATCAGGTGAAGAACAGCAAGGCCAAAGTTACTCAGGTGAGCATTGTGGCCCATGAGCCTCTTATTAGATGAAATTGTGACTGTGTAAATTTTTTTTATATAAAACAGACGTGACTTGCTGGTGGTGACAGCTCAGATTCTGTTGAATGCACTACGAGATGGAATCGTCAGTGTTACTGACTTTTCATTAATGGTGTTTGATGAATGTCACCATGCCAACGACAACCACTCCTACAACATGATCATGAATAAATACTTGGACATCAAATTTCAGGAAAGGGAGAATGCTAAAAATCTACCAATGGTATTTGATTTTAATACCTCCTTTCTAAGTGTTTTTTTTTATCAATGTGTATATGTGTAAAATACCAATTATGTGCAAATTATTACTTTTAGACAGAATTAAGTAATAGGTGCCCCCTAATTAGCTCACCAGAGCCAAAGGTTCAAGATACCTCCTCTGATCAAATTTTATCCGTTTTCCATCTGTCCATTTATTTAAAAAAAGGACCTACTATTCCCAAAAAATAAACATACAAGGTCATATGTTTTATAAAGTAATATCTGCAGGTGTGTATTGGGAAAATCTTTGAAATCTTTACAAAAACAGCAGAACCAAAGTATACATGCAAGTCTGTAAGTAAAGTAAAGGGGAAAAACAGAGTCTGTGCCACCTGCTCTAATGTCAAAGATTATTGATTTGCACCACCCTGTTAGAAACTGCTTCTAACAGGGTGGTGCAATTCAAAAATCCTTGACATTCTGTGACCAGGTGGCACATACCCTGTTTTTCCCCTTTATTTATTTAATGAAATACATGTAAGTTATTTCACAATTTTCCCAGTTTGAACATTTTTACACATCAGTTTAAATTAGACTTGTACTTTGGTTCTGCTGTTTTGAACAGATTTTCTCTACCTTACAATAGAATGTGTAGATAAAGAATACCTCTTACTCTGTCCATAAAAATAAAGTCCACACTTAACAATTTTAATTCATGGCATCCTGTAAAAGTAATGGTTTATAATATGTTGAGGTTTAATTAAGATTTTTGACAGACAAACATAAGGCATGGGTGTAAAACATACAACATGTGTATTTTAGATTAAGGATGACTCAAAAACTTGATATTTTTTTAACTATACATATAGGAGAATTTGAAGCTTCTTTAAACTTACTAATAGTAGTGTAAATTTCCCCCATGCCAGGGGGGTTTCTTAGCTGGATTCTTGGTCTGGTTACCAGACCTATTCCAAATCCAAAAATCTCCAATATTTGCCCAGCGGTTTTTGATGTCTTATCCCCAAATTTCTTTAAAAATTTCAGAAAGATATGACATTTGTTTTCCTTGAAGAAGAAATTTGTCTATATTACTAATCGTAAACTAAGTACATTACAATAAATATGTTGACTCTACATGTAGGAGCTAGCTCTGATTGATGCAGGACTGCCTAGCGTCCAGAACATGCATCTTGAATCAAAATGCTTGATCATGAAATTTTATAAAGCTTAATTTACTTAGAGAGGAAAAATTTTAATATTGACTGTTTATTCACTTTAAATAATTATGTCCTTCAATCATAAATATTTTATTTTAAAAATTTAAGGAAAAAGTTACCTGATTTCCTAACCTTTTCTTCAAATTCTAAAATAATTAAATGTCAGGCATGAAGGATTGAATTTGAAAGGGGGGATTATAAGGGAAAAAATGACAACCTACCTGAAAAAAATCTGACTAGCCTCCAAAATGAGGAGAAGTCTCAAAACTCCAAATTTTATTTTGGGGGAGGAGGTGTTAGGGTCCATTATGGGGGGAGTGGGAACCAGCCTTTCAATGAACATTTTCATACTAAATTGAAAGTAATATTTAACTTTCAGAAAAAAGGATGGAAAGGGGGCAGTCCCCCATGCACCCCCACCCACCCCACCCCTTGAATCTATGTCCCTGAATATTATGTTCACCTGAGTGGAAGTCAGTTGCAAGTGAAATAACTTTCCAGAACTATTTGTATCAATATGGAATTTCCAGATCTAGTTCAATGTAGAAAAAAATAAATCCTTATGTTCACGTGTAAGGTCATGTGCAGGTGAACATAACATAGTATTTTTTCTACAAATGTTGATCTCAGCCAATTAGAGAGCTAAGAATTATTCAGTCATATAATAAAGTTGATTGTTTACAGACACTCCTGCTGAAATTAAAATTTTCTGAATTCTGCTTTAAGTAAATTCTGACTTGATTGATCTGCTATAGGATTTTCTTACAGAAATATATGTTGTACATGTATTGTAGATTGTTGGCATGACAGCCTCTGTTGGAGTGGGGAAAGCTTCAGATGAGGAGAGGGCTAAAAGGCATATTGAGAAAGTTATGGCAAACATGGATGCTGAAATGATTGTAACTGTGACAGAGAACAGACGAGAACTGGCCCAACATGTCAACATACCACAGCAAAGTAATAGGATAATAATTTATTCAGCATCAAGCCAGTAATTAGATGTTGATTGTTTATGATTTGCCACTGACTCACTGAAAAAAGATTCCTTTTGATGCTAAAAAAAGACATACACTCTAACTTGTGTGTATTTTTAAAAAATAAAAAAGACCCCTTGTGATTTTGTGAAACCAAAAATGTTATGTCAGATATATTTTGAAGACCAGCTTCAAGGTTTTCATTAACACCTAACATGTAAACAAATAAGGAAATCTTTATTTTCTAAAGCTGTTAAATAAATCAGTATTTGTGTGTATGAATTATTACTATGCTTTTGCAGAACTCTACAAGGTGCATAGAAGAGAAAAGAATTATTATGGAACACTTGTTGAAAAGTTAATGGATGCTACAGAGAAACACATGAAGAATTCCAAATGTGAGTCCTGAGATTATCTATTAAATGAAGTATTAATTTGATGCAAAGAAAACTGCTTATTTTGAGCCACTGAAATGACACAGTTGTATGCTTTACAATTTGAGAAGAAAGAAAGATTTTTTTTGATAGATCTTGAGCTAGTTAAGTCTCCAGATGCTGTTATAAAGCCTCCCCTGGAGAAGGGTTCTGATCAGTACACACAGTGGGTCAGCATGCTGTGGAGGGAGACCGCTAAAATCAACGACCAGGCTGCGGGACGATTCTATGACACATGTCGTAGATATCTCGATGTTAGTCATTTAATAGCTTGCATGAGCTTTACTGATCAAAATTTGTCTGATTTGTATGTACATATATGCAGTACACATACGTTTGTTCTGCATACACTCCAATCTTTTACCCCCCAGAACCATAATGTTCCAATTTCATCTAAACTTTCCACAAAGAATCTTAAGGTGAAAAGGATTCAAGTTTTTTAATGAAAGGTCATGAACATTTTTAAATGAAAATTATTAAGGAGAAAAATGCAATGTACTAGACTGGGATTTGACCCCCCCCCTGAATCTCCAGTCAGGTGCTCTAGCAACTGAGCCATCTGACCACTGGCAATGGAACCCCCCTGACAACCACATTCCTCCCTTCTTTAAGGTCTTTGGCCCTGGAAGCTCCAACCCAGGCTCTTCCCTGGTAGGTTTTTCACCTGTTAATTTCAGGGCATGGTCACGGCACCAAATGTAACAGAAGAGGGGGAATACTAGTTTGTGACGGACCAGACGGATTCAAACCCGAGCCTCCTGAATTTCCAGTCAGGTGCTCTACCAACCAAGCCATTTGTCCACTAGCGATCGAACCTGTCTGATCGCCACATAAAAATTATTAAAATAAGGGTGGTGTCAATAAAAAAAAGTTTTTATAAAGAATCACTGAAACATGAAAAACAAAACTTATGTGAAAACCCTACATGTATATATCGTGACAGTAAAAGCAGTGTAGATTCAAGTTCTCTTGATCTTGTATGGGTGCACAGTAAGAAGGTTCAAAGTCTTACAAAGGATTTACATATATATGAAAAACATTCTAAAAAGCAGCAGGACTACAAAAGAAAAATTTATATGCATGCAAGCACCCCCATATAATATAGATGGTTCAATTAATTAAGTGTCAACTGTGGTTCAGATCATGCCTTTGAGGCTGGAGTTGTGCACAAAAGGGAGTAAGAAAAACAGGATTATATTTTGTCAAACTGCTTTGTAAACCTATCCATGTAATTTGAATAATAAGAGGAAGGCCAATAAAGGGCAGGAGTTCAAAGTTTTAAGTAGGAAGAGAGGGAAACAATCTTTAAAATCTTTTTTCTCAAGAACCACAGAGCCACACAGAGGCAAACTAACTCATGAGATTAACAAGGTTTATATATATATCACATTATATGTAATATCACATAGCAGCAGCAAAAAAGTTATAAGGTTTGGTTATTACATAACAGATAGTGCAAATAAAAGTGTGAATCTTGAATAAATACTGTATGTGTACATAAATTGGCGTATTCAAAATTTAGCACAATCACTTGGTATGGAATTGTTGGCATAATCTGTATCGCTACACATGTCCGTGCTGTGTATTGGTTGTATACAAAAATGATTTCTAATGTTATTCATAAATTAGCGCATCGTTGTCTGCGCCAAAGCCCGCTTTTTAATTAAGGAATGAATTTAATAGGTACCCAATTTATACGGTATAAAGTGGGTTGGGGCAGTTTACGCTTTATAAACCGCGAAGTGGTTTATAAAAAAGCGTAAATTGTTCCAACCCACTTTATAACGTATAAATTGGGTACCTATTAAATTCATTTCATATAATTTAATTTTCATTCATTTAGTGTAAGAAAAAAGATGATTGCCCATAAAAATTGACTTCAAATTGTACAAAATTTAAATGTAACGTCAGGCGGATCGATACATTTTTGATGCAAGTCATTGTGACATAGGCAACCCAATTTATACAATATAAAGTAAATTTTTTATCCAATCAAATTGCGCGTTACAATCAGAATTAAATTATGTATACATACAGTATACAATTTGATAAGCTGACCAACATGTACAATTTGATACATATTTTTCCAACAGTTATACAACAAGGCTCTGATTATCTACAAAGATGCCCGGCCAAGTGATTCCTTGTCATTTATCCTGAAAGAAACCAAAAAATGGGAGCAGACTGTCATAGCTGACGAAACAGAACGGAAAATGAAGAGGATGTTTGATAGTGTGTAATACATATGTCAGTTAACAAATAAGTATAGTCTACAGTATAGTCTACAGTATGGTTTAATTCAATGAAAAATTTCCAAAAAAACAGTTTTTAAATAAATGTTTTTTATGCCCCCGTATCGAAGATTCCAGGGTATATAGTTTTTGCCTTGTCCGTCCATCCATCTGTCTGTCTGTTTGTCTGTTTGTCCGCAAAAACTTTAACATTGCCCATAACTTTTGATTGGTTGGAGCTATGGCTTTCATATTTCACATGTGTATTCCTTGTGACAACACCTTTTTTCAGGTACCACCATTTTTGACCTTGACCTTGGAGTTTGACCCAGTTTTGCAAAATTTTATCCAACTTTAACTTTGGCTCTAACTTTTGAACAATTGGTGCTAGGGCTTTCATACTTCACATATACAATCCTTGTGACAAGACCTTCCTTTGGATACCAACAACTTTGACCCTTTCACTGACCTTGGAGATTGTTTGTGTGTTTGTATGTTGTTTAACATCCCTCTGGAGAATTTTTAACTCATATGGAGATGCCACCACTTGACGGTGGAGAGCTGCAAATTTTGTCCTATACACGGCACTTACGGCCATTGAGCAGTGAGGGATCTTTTTTCGTGCCAGCACCTACTGCGACACGGGACCTCGGTTTATACGGTCTCATCGGAAGGACCGGTCTCCACGTCCCACAGTGGGATTTGAACCTGCGACGTAAGGATCAGCTCCTTACTCCGCGACTCTAGAGCAGACGCTCTAACCACTGCGCCACGCGGGCGACCCTTGGAGATTGACATACTTTTGAAAGACTTTAACCTTGGCCATAACTTTTGAACCGTTGGTGCTAGGGCTTTCATACTTCACAGATGTAATCCTTGAGATAAGACCTTCCTTTCCATACCAACAATTGTAATCCATTGACCTTGACCTTGGAGTTTGACGTACTTTTGGAAAACTTAAACCTTGGTCATAACTTTTGAACGATTGGTGCTTCAGCTTTCATATTTCACCAGTATATTTCTTGTGAGAAGGCCTTTCCTTAGGCACCATTGTTTTTTTACCATTTGACCTTGACCTTGATGTTTGACTTACTTTTGAAAAACTTTAACCTTTTCCATATCTATTCAGTGGTTGCTGCTAGGGCTCTCATATTTCACAGGTATATTCCTCGAGACAAGACCTTACTTTGGGTACCAACATATTTGATTTGCATTTGAGAAAGTATAGCCTTTGTTATAAGTTGCCATATGGGGGCATCAGTGTTTCACAACCACATCTTGTTTTCTTTTATGTTTGATTTAAGTACTATTAGTAAACCATAATGTTTTTTTTTCAAATTTATGTTTACATGAATTTATCCATGCCTGCAAAATTGTTTCATGAAATACAGCATTATATACACAAATGTATATTTTCAAGTTTTTATGCCCCAGTAATTGAAGATTTGGGGGCATATACTGTACAGCAGGAAATTAACTTGCGGAGTTAATATTCGCTATATTCGCGGAAATAAAAATTCCGTGAATTCAACATACAGTGAATAATTCTTCAAAAATTGATAAGGATAAATTGAAATATTACCGATATCTGTGATTAAATTCGGTAACTCTATTTGTGTTTCCTTGCAAACATAAAAGCAGTAATTGATATATAGAGGAGATGTAGACTGTCTTCCTAATTATGCGAGTGTACGGATCAATTACTAAGACGTTAACAATTGATAAATAAACATCTATAACTAACATTTAATTCTGCCACCCAGTAGAGGTGCGATGTAATTATCTATAAAACATGTATTGTTAGATTTCACCCGTGCGTATCACTCAGTCCTACATGTATTATCTTTAATCAAGGCACTTACGTTGTAAAGACAACACTGTTACACATTAATTAAATTTTATCAACAGTTCAACATTTTGACTATCGGTAGTGACAACTGATTTAGATTCAAAGGGATTTAAATATACTGCAGTAAATACTACTCTGTACTCTACTCAAAACGTACCTATGAACGAACACCTGCCAAATGGCTTCTTTTTTTACATGAATGTTTTGGATATGACTTGAAATCACTTGAATAAATCACTCGAGTATAGAGTCATATGTATTTCAAAAATATTTAATAAAAAGAAAGAAAACACAAGAAAGAAAGAAGAAAATTTATCTGAATGCGTAACATTGTACATCGTATGATATTTTATCTTCTAATCCAATCGGGATCAGTACGGTGTTTCGTTCTATTTAATCGGGGTCATAATCGACACAATACGCAAGAAAAATATTTGCAGTGCTGAAAAAGTTTTTGTATAATTTTTCCTTTCCGCGAATTCAAACGACCGCGATTTGCTGCAAGTTGAACAAATCGCGATCTTTTCCGACCGCGATTTTAACCTGCTGTACAGTAGTTTTTGCCCTGTCCATCCGTCTGTCTGTTTATCTGTCTGTCTGTCTGTCTGTTTGTCCTCAAAAACTTTAACCTTGCCTAGAACTTTTGATTGGTTGGAGCTATGGCTTTCATATTTCACATGTGTATTCCTTGTGGCAAGACCTTTATTTTGATACCATAAAATTTGACCTTTTGACCTTGACCTTGGAGTTTGACTCACTTTTGCTAAATTTTTTCAGACTTTAACCTTGGCCATTACTTTTGAATAGTTGGTGCTAGGGCTTTCAAACTTCACATATGTATACCTTATGACAGGACCTTTCTTCGAATACCAACAACTTTGACCCTTTTGACCTTGACCTTGGAGTTTGACCTACTTTTGAAAAAACCTTAACCTTGTCCATAACTTTTGAACAGTTGGTGCTAGGGCTTTCACACTTAACATGTGTAATCCTTGTGACTTGACCTTTCTTTGGATACCAAAAACCAAAAACTTTGACCCTTTGACCTTGGAGTTTGACCTACTTTTGAAAAACATTAACCTTGGCCATTACTATTGAATAGTTGATGCAAGGGCTTTCATACTTCACATATTTAATCCTTGTGACAAGACCTTCCTTTGGATACCAAAAATGTTGACCCTTTGACCTTGGAGTTTGACCTACTTTTGAAAAACTTTAACCTAGGCCATTACTTTTGAATAATTGGTGCTAGGGCTTTCATACTTCACATATGTATCCTTGTGACAAGACCTTCCTTTGGATACCAACAACTTTGAACTTGGAATTTGACCTACTTATGAAAGAATTTAACCTTGGCCGTAACTTTTGAATGGTTGGTGCTAGGGCTTTCATATTTCACATGTGTATTTCTTGTGAGAAGGCCTTTTCTTGGGCACCATTAATTTTGACCATTTGAACTTGACCTTGATGTTTGACTTACTTTTGAAAAACTTTAACCTTTTCCATATCTATTCAATGGTTGCTGCTAGGGTTTTCATATTTCACAGGTATATTCCTCGAGACAAGACCTTACTTTGGGTACCAACATATTTGACTTGCATTTGAGAAAGTTTAATATTTGTTATGAGTTGCCATACTGGGGCATCAGTGTTTCACAAACACATCTTGTTTGACTTTTGTTTATGTTTATATTCATTATGTAAACTTTATATGATATCACAGTGTTGCCTTTAATTATTTAGATAAAAACTTCTTTAAGGAAGGGGAAAATTGATCACCCATATTTGGATTCTTGTACATCATTATCTGGAGAATTGCATTATGTTTTGTTGTCTTTGAACACAGAAACTAAAGATTTACTTGAAAAGTGCACTGAAGACCCTAAGCACAAAAACCCCAAACTTGAAGCCCTGAAACACATGATTGTGGAATACTTCAAGGAAAATCCCGACTCCAGAGTGATTGTGTTCGTCAAAACCAAAGAGTTAGTCAAGGCCATAGAGACATTTATGAATGAAACTGATGAATTACGTAATCTCAATCCAAAGCAGTTTGTTGGGGTTCAAGCCAATAAGGAAAAAGGAGGTTTGTAAGAGATTTTAAGGGTGTAATCGCTACTTCATAAAAAAATTTTTTTTTCTGTTGCTTTGAGATGTATATCCAGGGCGTCAATAGGAATCACCTTGTCAGTCTTTATTAATACTATTGTAGTGAGGTACCAGTAATAACTCGAGCAATTTTCACCGTAATGTTTTCAAATCTTGTACAGATTCTGAAATACTAGTACTTTAGAACTAGTGATGGGAACTATTACAGATGTTCTATAAATGGGTCACCCTCATCCTTTTATAGACATTATATGCTCCATTCCCAACAAGCTTCATTTAATTAGGCAATACTTTTATATTTTAGACCTACACATTATTTCCAAAGTATTTTATCAGAAAACAGTGCCGAAATAGCCAATTAGAGTTCAGCGCATGTGCATGCACATGTTTTCTAGATTTCTCACTTGTATATATATATATATATATATATATATATATTCTTATAGTGTCTCACAATATATACCTTTGTGTTAAATCTCAGTGAATTTAATTGAAAATGGGAGAGATACAGCCATTCATGTATTGAGCATGAGATTTTGGAGCAGGTCCATTCCCTATCTTCATTAGCCTGGTTTTTCTCATCTGATCCCTCCTCACAAGTGATGTGTATTTTCTCAAAAGGAAATATCTCTCAAAGATTAAGAAAGAAAAATTTCCTTATGCAAAAGATATATTCCTTAAATAGACCAAAAAAGATATCTTTGAGCAAATCTTTCCACTTAAACAACACCCATGATATCTAGCTCTTGGAGCATATCTTCCCTGTGATAAGGAATAACATTTTTAATTTTCCATTGAAATATTCAAAAAATAAAAAACCAAATCAGAAATATGTCAGAATCAAGGGGTGGAGCTTTTCCAAAGGATAAAATAATTTTGCTCATATAAAACATTTCATTTGAAATGATAATAGCTTAGCTGGCACTTTCTACAACTTGACATTTGCCTGATTCTCTGAAAGGCACTTGTATTTGGGATAATTCTTAATGCTTTAATGAAGCACATCCTTCCATCTGTGATGGAGGAAGTTATTAAAGCAGAATAAACAATAAGTTTTATTTTGCCATGTCGGAATCACCTGAAGTAAATTGGTATAATAAAATTCAATTTTAGAATGTTAAATTCACTGGTTTATTTTCAAATTGTCTTTTAACAAATATAATATGTTATCTGACCAGTAACTAGAGTGCTTCGACTCTAAATATCAAAAAACTTTATAAGCACTCAAATGACCATGATTGGAAAACGAGCACTAGCTATTTTGATTTTAGGTCAAAATGTCATTTGCATTTCCATTTAAGCATGTGTGATAATGCATTATTAATGTATTATAAAACAGATTCCAAATTAAATGATGATGGATAAAATATGCATATACAGTTGCTTCCTGTTTACCTACTAGTAGAGGTATATAAAGATTTCTGTTTGTCTTTTTAGGAATGACAAAGGTGGAACAGGACGAGATCCTGAGATTGTTTAGAGAAGGGAACCACAAAGTCATCATTGCCACTTCTGTTGCAGAAGAAGGGCTTGACATACAGAAATGTAGCCTGGTGGTACGATATGATCATGTGACCAATGAAATAGCCATGGTCCAATCAAGAGGTAATAATTTATATTTGACTACTGTAAATGTACTTTATTCTACAGGGTAATAATTCTGTGAAACCACAATTTCTATTTAATCTGCAGTAAGAAAATTAAATGGATTTCTTCAGTACTAAATGCACTTTAAGTACACTGTGACAAATTTCTGCAGAAAATTTGTCACCACGTACATAGCGTAAATTAATCCCACATGAAAAAGTAATCAACAGTTTTTCAAACATTTTTTTTGTCTGTAAAATTGCAGAAAATTCAATTCTTAACTAAGTGACAAAAAATGCTAAGTCACTAGAAAAGAAAGTTGAAGTCTTAATTAAACTCATAATTGTATATCAGCTTGAATCCTTGTTTGCATGCAAATAATGCTTGGGGGCTTGGGGAGGTTATATAAATACATTCTACTTGTAGGAATCACTCTGCTCATCTTTTAGATCATTTGGCTGTCTTTTGTTTGGAATACAAATTCTATGGAATGGAGTCATTATAAATTCATAGGGAAGGATCATAAAAATAGATTTTAAAATGGTGGCAATCTCAAATGGCCACATCTAAGTAAAGGACAACTGGGGTGAAAGGGAACTGTAAGGGACTGTATTTATAAAGGTTTGACCTTGAACTTTGACTTTCAACTTTACCCATGGGCACTCTTTAGATAAGGTACGCGCCAAAGGGGGCCAAGGGGGAGAGAAAATATGTTCATGATATACAAAGTACAAAAAAGGTGCTTTATGACTCTCAAATGACAAGGTTATGGTCTTCTTCAGACAATAACTTTATATTGAAAGGACAAAAGAAACTATTTTATAGCTCAGAGGGAGATTGATCAGGAATCATTTCTTCATCCAAAACATTAATGAGTTCTTGAAAGAAATTCTTGAAGACAAACTCTGATTTCAGAACTTGATGTAAAGTTCCTTAAAATCAATTTTTTTCTCCAGAACAGCAAGGCCAAGATAGTCATATTGAACATTGAGAATCCCCATGTAGTATGTAATGTGATTGAAGTTTGGTTAATCATGACTCCTTGGGGCTAGGGTGGGGCAACAACAATAATACACAATTAATTGTTAGCGAGATTCAATTTTAGCCATCTCGGCACCCTCGCTAATAATGCCAAAATTGAATCCTCGCTAAGATTTCTGCTTATACTTAAATATACAGTATTTAAGTTTATAAACATTTTTCAGGAAGAGGAAGGGCAGAAGACAGTAAGTTTGTTATTCTGGCTTCAGAAGACACAAATACACAAAAAAAGGCAGAACTGAACATGATTAAAGAGTCGTGGATGAACAAAGCCATTGCTAGCGTCAGGGAAGAACTGAATAGGGACAAAGATGCAGTCCTCAGAAGAGTGAGGGAAATCCAACATGAAGCAAAGATAGCGAGAGACATAGCTCTGAAAAATAGGAAAGCAGCTCAGGCCAACTTGGGGGAGTTCAAAATCACGTGCAAATCATGTCGAAACTTCATTTGCATGTCAACTGATATAAAGAAAATTGAGAATGCTCACCACGCTGCTATCAACGAGGACATCATGGAAAATGTGAATGTTATGATTTCTGTTCCAGATTATCAAGATGAAAATATGAGCTGTGGAGCTGGGAAAATATTTTGTAATAAATGTGGGAATCCATTAGGGAACATTACAATCTATAAGAATGCCCAGTTCTGTATTCTGAAGTGTGAGTTCTTGAACATGATTGACAGTGCTGGCAATGGGGTCTCAAAAAAGCGCTGGAAACAAGTCCCATTTTTTGTTCCTCCGTTGACCTCTGCTGACCTTGAGAAGAGAATTGAAGGAGAAAAATACATTGAGTGTTAAAGAATATGTTTGCTTACCAACTTACTTTTGCTTATAATTGACGATTTAAAAGAAGTTTCAAATGATTGAAAACATTTACCCGACAATAATTGAATCTATGTAGTAAAAATAAGAATTCAAAGATAGGGTGTAGATTTTTAAATTGTACATACATAATGTTATACATCATGTGTTTGTGATATACTGTGGTGCATAATTGTAAAAAAAAAGTTCTCGTCTCATATTCATCTTTAAAATGCCTGTGATTAAGAACTTTGCTGTGGTAATGTCCTTTGTCCCAGAATTAAAGCTTTTGGTTCTAAATTATTTTACTTAAATTTGATCCCTGAACTAATTAAGGTACTTGATTTATTTGAAGTGAAGGAGTTTTGTGTTGGAGGAAATATCAGTTCATATTTTCCGTTATTATTAATTTATTTACTTAATAAATATTTTGTGATGAGTTGTTTTTTTTTTTTCAGCTGTTGTATTTATTAATTTATTTAATAAAATATCTGTTTTGTTGATTATACATGTATCTCTATTAAATGTGTTAGAACAATGTATTTATTCCATTTTGTATTGTCAATTGCATCTTGAAATTGCAATAATCTTTAATATCAGTGACTTGAAAAATTATTTGTATGCCCAGAAGTTCCAAACCACCTGCTTGGATGTTCAGAACTCTACAATATTAACATGTATATAATCAAAAAGGTCCTCATGACATTTTTAAATTGTGCCATACTGAATATACTGTGTTATACATGTACCAGTATTTATAAATCCATTATTTGAATTTCAGCAGGACTTCAGAATGCTTATGGTTGTATGGTGTCTTCTACCTATTCCCACTTTTTAAAAATCTCAGTTCCACCTATTCCCACTTGCAAATAACAATGGATGTTTATAGATACTAGTTTATTTGTTTATCTAGTAATTAGACTAATTACATCCCATCTAAGATTTACCTGTATTTTGTACATTTTTAGACAGAAAATAAATAGATTTATGAAAAAATGATTTATTTCAACTTACTGTATTTTAGAAAATAAAAAAAAGTGGTTAAAAAATACTTTAATATCTTGATTTTTTTAACATAAAATAAATATATTCATGAAAAAATGCATTTAAATAGCTGAATGTTAGAAATACAATAAAAGGATTATTGGGAAAAACATGTTTTAATTCACTTTAAAATCTTTCTTTCAAATATCAGTAAAAGTCTGATTTACATGTAAATAAATTTTTAAAAGCCAATTTACCTGTCCTCTCTTCCAACAGGTGTTCAATAATTACTGTTTATATGGTAATTATATGTTTATAGTTAATTATTTGTTTACACAAAAATTCCACCTATACCCACATAAAATCTTACCTTTTCCTACCTGACTTTCAAAAAGTGGGAATAGGTAGAATAGGTATTAATCTGAATCTTAGAAAATGATACTATTAATGCAGCAGTCAAACTGTTTGAAAATGAAGAAGAAAATATGTATTTATTTTGTTAACATTAATTAATAGCAATACAAATGCAATTACTTTTTTCTTCAATCTTTTGTATTGTAATTTGAGGATGGGTTCATTTTAATCTTATTTGTTTTTGATTTTTTTTTTTTTGGGGGGGGGGGGTCTACAAAATTTAAGAGGGCTTTGTGGTCAAGGCCATTTTTAGACTATTTAAACCTATTTGACAAGAGGAGCTCTATAGAAATATAGGAAATTGCATTAAACTTGATAAATTGTATAGCTTGAATATGTTGGGGTTTCCTCTTATCTAAATGATAGTTTTTGGCTAGAAATATCAGATTTCCTATTTTAGGTGGATCTGTAATTTGTTGACTACACAACCTCCTTAACCTACAGTAACAAATCAATATAATGTTTTGTGATATGTTTCCATCATCAGTTAAACATACATGTTTGCATTGTAATGGAGGATTGGTTTTATATTCTGTCTACATACAAATCAAATTTAATGAAATTTTTAAATATACATGTACATATTTATAATTTATTGAATGCTTATAAATATGATTTATTTATCATGTTGAAATTACACAATAGAATATTTCATGCCTTCCTTAAATGTGGATACATTGTTTTGTTGATTGTGTTTTCTTTTCTTTTTTGCAAATTATGATGTTACATTGAAAATCTTAGCTGTAGTGTGATCATGCAGATCTTTCATATGATATTTTTCTTGGAAATAAGTATAATAGCTGTGAAAGTATTTTAGCATTTAAATGCACTGTGATTGAGCTTGAAATTCCATAAAAATGGTGTCATGGTTCTCTTAAATACATGTGTTTGTTGTTTTTTTTTTGTTTTTTTTAAATCTTTTTTGTACACTCAAAGAGTTGCTGCTGGTTGTTTGGAGTTTTGTTATGAATTGTGTTCCAGTTTAAATTATGAATATTCTTGTTAATAAACAAAAAATCAAAGTAATCAAAGTACTTTATGTACTTAGATGAAAAAGTATGTTTTTTTTTAAAATTAATTCTTATGTAATTATGTGCAATTGTCAATAAGCTTTGTTAGTTTAATGTCATGCATTGCTGTTATTCGTGCCAATTAATGTACATCACTTTGTTGAAAATAAATTGAAAAATATTTACTAGTATTTTCATTGTAAAGATTTTCCACGAATATGGCACTTGAATCAGGAACTGATAAATAAAATGACATACAGATATTTACATCCTGATTTTATTTAATAAATTGTTAACATTTAAGTATCATAATGGTACATACATGGAAATGGCAAAAATTGAGTTGGTTGTTGTTCTTTGATAACGAATATTTTCCTCAACCATGACCTTAAATGACTATCGTTCATTAACAGTGAATCAAGATCTGAACACATTTTAGGTATTGGATAACAGCGTACAAAAAATTAACTTTCATTCGAAGGTTACGAAGAATGCAAGATTTGAGACTTGATTTTAATATATATATATATATATATATATATATATATATATATATATATATATATATATATATATATATCGCGGCCGTGATTCGAACACGACCTTCCGATCATGGAGCGAGCGCTCTTCCGACTGAGCTACCGAGTCGGTATCTTACGTCATGTGCAATGTGGCAACGCACTTTGAAAAAATTACGCACTTTGGAAAAAAAAAATTCAAAGTACGTTAAAATTGGGACAAAATGAATGCACTTTGAAACAAATTTTCAAAGTGTGTTAAATTTTGGACAAAATCAACGCACTCTGATTTTTTTTCAAAGTGCGTTAAGAGTGTAAATCAACATTTTTTTTTTTACCATGGAGACACTTAACGCACTTTGAAAAAAATACGTATAAAACAAAAATTCTGGACTTAGATTTTTGTAATAGACAGCTTTAATTTGTTAAATTTTTTCCGAAAAAAACCTGATGAATTGATCTACCATCATCGAGAACGAGAACACAGGTACATGTAGAAAGTCCCTCAGCCCAACTCTCTATCTTTCCTACACAAATATATGTATTTACATAAGTGGTATGACATTGATGTTATATCTCTCAATATATTTGAGTTAACGTAAAATAGATGAAAAATTGAGATAAACTTTCCTGAAAAAAATACGCAGCCTATTATACCAAAGAAGAGAGCCGCATAACCTTTATTCAAAATGTTTCCACAATGATTCCTCAGAAAAAAAGGCATTTACATGGTAATTAAAACATATGTCTAGCGTTTTTATGATAAGAAATAACAGATTTAGAAGTAATCTGACTGCATAACCTTTTTGAGAAAAAGTTATTAGTGAACGAGGTAAAAATTTCAGTCGAGTGAGTAAGGTGGCTAAGGTTTATTTTCTTACAATCAAATAAATGAGTCAACCATTGTTTCATATATGTTCACAATAGATAAATAGATGAATATGATAGAAAGATAGATGAGAGAGAGAGAGAGAGACTATTTTCATGGTATGGAAAAATCATAATTGCTCCCTTTTCCGTAAGAAAAATGCGATGCTTTAAGTCACTTATCGACACCTACATCTACCGAACTTATTAGGTACTGCATAAAATTTAAAAAAAGAAAAGAAAAGAAACTGTGCTGTTAAACAATCATTCCTCCATTATTTCTAAAAAGACCCATTTCCTTTTTATAACAGTTACGAGAACCTTTGCAAACAAGACAACTCCTAAAAATCTTTAAAACGTCAATATCCCAGATCCTGACTTCATCACCGAAAAGTTATCCAACCAGGTTCAAATAATTATTTATCATACCTAAAATTTGCAAGAATATTGACCAAGCCGTGCACATTTTTTTTCAAAGTGCGTTAAGATGGTCGATATTAATGCACTTTGAAAAGATTTTTTTTCAAAGTGTGTTAACGTGGTCCCAAAATTAACGCACTTTGAATTTTTTTTTCAAAGTGCGTAATTTTTCAAAGTGCGTTGAAACAGTGCAACGAAGAATTCATTTCTAGCAAGAGTTCTAAAGTATAAGCACACACAGATAACCATGGCAAAAACATTAGATCTCTGGAGGAATGAGAATGTACCTGCTTTCGTTTAATTCATTCAAATTAAGGACAATTATAACATAACAATATCCTTTACAAATCCTAAAAATTGTTAAAATTTCTAATAAGGGTGTACATTATACATGAGCATTGATTGATATACTTTTCAAGGAAGTAAAATAATTTTACTTTTATTTCCTTATCCGCCCTCAACCTTAAAACGGTGTCAAATTCGCTGAATTCACACCCAATACCCGCAAAAATTGAATAAAGGATCCAGGAAGCTACACCTTTAGAATGGCTCAAACTCGCAATTCCAATCTAAACAACATTTATCCTTCTTATCGCACTTGCATGTAATTTCTTGTCTCTTGCCCAAAGTACAAGCATTAATCATAGACTTTTGTATGTTAAGCACCTCTTGACTAATTTAACACAGATGAAATTAGGAAACTATAGAGATTGAGGAAGATATATATATATATATATATATATATATATATATATATATATATATATATATATATATATATATATATATATATATGTATATATATATATATATATATATATATATATATATATATATATATATATATATATATATATATATATATATATATATTATTTACAACAGTACGATTTAATCAGAGA